ATGCGCTGAAGATGTCACCTAGTAGGGTGATGAAAGCTTCTCAAATGAACTATCCAGCTTAGAGAACATAACCACATCAAAATCATCTCTTCGAGCTACAAATCTTCTCTATCATAGAGGATAGGGTTGCTAGCCTGATCCCCAACCTTTCCTCTTTACCAGCTTTGTTTCTGGCTGGGCGAGGTAAAAGAGTATGTCGGCCATGGACCGAACCCTGGACCATTTGCATGGTCGACAAGCTTCCTAACCGCCATGCCACCGACGCACCCAATGAATATATATATATATATATATATGTTTCAAATTAAATCAAAATCAGATCGCACCACTTGACATTTAACAAATTCCTGTTCTGATTTCAATTTACGCTGCATCACGAACCGGAAATCATTTATGAGACCATAGGATACCAAGGAGTGCTGGACATAGCTGTCTTCAACTGCACGCAGCCATGACTCCACCAAGAATGAAACTCAGGACCTTGAGATAACAAGATATTCAGTGATTCACGTATTCTAAAAGATAAGGTTTCTGGTCATCAGAAATTCTCAAAGTGAAGTCTGTTCGTGATAGAATCCACTTTGAAAATCTACTCTCTGAAAGGCTCCTTTCAGTTTTTGAAATCATAATGCCAAAGATTAACATACCCTAATAAGGATCAAATAAAAAAATATATTTATTTATTTATTGAGTGATCTGAACCACTAATTTTCCCTGTCTGTAACATATCAGTCAAAAACAGACATTTAGTTTACATGAAAGCTTAAAAATACGAGAGAAAAAACTGACTGACTTTTACTTTATGTCTTCCATCTTGTACTTACTAATTAATTATTAGGCATAATTTTTCTTTCTTTCGTTACTTCTTACAAATTCTCTTGTTCTGTTTACACAGCATCTTTCTTTATTTGTCTAGTCCAGACTGTCTATCAACTCCTATAATCACTTCTCTTCACTTCAATTCAGTTCACATAGAGAATTTCGCAGAAAGTGCATACTTATTAATGGATTATATATTTATCAAAATTGTAGACAATTATGGAAGAATTTTGTTGAATTTAATTTTGTATTTCCCGGTGATTCATTACTTTAGACTGAATTTTCTGTTCCCTTTTGTACATATTGGCTCTTATTACTGCTGTTTCTCATGATGTCTGAAGATTAACATAATGCAGCCTTTGGTTGGTTGCTAGTGTCTACCAGTGGAATCTATGATGTCTATCTTGTCGCATTTTGCAGCCATCATCAGGATTTACCTACATTTCCAGTGAGTATCTGTTTAATCCAATATACTACCGGTGGCTGCCTTGACCCTGTAGAGTTTGAAACGATGGGGGCACAGGAACTGAGTCTCAGTGGGAACACAGTCACTCACTGGAACTGCAAGTACATCTTACTGATGAGTACAAAAGAGGTCGGAACTGACAAGCCTAAGAGACGGTGTATTACAGTCAACGATTGGTGTTTCTTATCTGTATTCAGTCAAACTTATAATGAAGGAGGAGACTGGTCGTTGTGAGTCGTTGGTCCAATGGTAGAATACTCGCCTACCATTTATGTGCCCTGGAGTTCGATTCCCAGTTGATGTGGTCTTAAACCTTGCTTGATTGATTAAGTGGTAGTCAGCGAGGTGCAGGGGAGAAGATTCAGTGTAAGGCCGAAAATCTCATTTTGTAAAAAGACAAAACCGCTGTGACTGAAACTTCAAACTTTGAATTTCTATAACTCGATTATAGACAAGATTTTGTCTTAATAAATCACACAGTGATGTTATACAGTAATATTAACTGATGACCACGTTTCGAGCACAAATTATTTACACTCATCATCATATCAAGGCCTTCGACAGCGTCGATCGTGAAGTAATTTGGAAATTACTCGAGTACTATGGCGTACCCCAAATATTCATCAACCTTATTCAACAGCTGTACGACAACGGCACCTGCCAAGTGATCCACAACGGAAGACTCAGCGAGGCGTTTGGAGTAAACACAGGAGTCAGACAAGGGTACTTACTATCACAAATGATATTCCTAATTGTGGTGGACTGGATTATGCGTCAGACAGTGTGAAACGAGAAGACAGGGATATCCTGGACCGACCGACGTGAAGAACCTAGAAGACCTGGATTTCGCGCGTGGATGATTTATGTTTGACGTCACACAAAATCGAAGACTTACAAGCGAAAACCGACAAACTGGTCGAAGAAGCAGCCAGCAAAGACAGGACTCCAAGTGAACATAGACAAGACGGAGGTTATGAAAATAACCAACCAACAACAAGAGCAGCATCAGCAACATCCAGTGCCAATCACCATCAACGGGAGGGATTTGAAAGAGGTCACTTCATTCACTTATCTAGGAAGCATTGTCTCAACTACAGGCAGTCGGAACGGACGAGGATGTCAAATCGAGAATCGGGAAGGCGAGAAGCACATTCATCAGCCTGAAATCAATCTGGAAATCTTCGTCACTCAGCCAGCATCACCAACAAAATTCGGATTTTCAATACAAATGTAAAGTCAGTTCTTATATACGGATCAGAAACTTGGCGGGTCACAAAGTATATTTCCGAAAGACTGCAGATCTTTATTAACAACTGTCTTCGCTCAATGCTGAAGATCAGATGGCCGGAAAGAATCACCAACAAGGAATTATGGGAACAAACAAAGCAAGAACCAATCGCCCAACAAATATGCAGGAGAAAGTGGAGATGGATCGGACACTTGCTGAGGAGACCACTGGGTGACATCGCGCGCCAAGCCCTCGAGTGGAATCTGATAGGGAAGCGGCATGTGGGACGTCAAAGGGTGACATGGAGGAGATGGTGTGAAGAGGAGTTGAAAGAAGATGGATTAACATGGATGCAGGCGAAAAGTATTGCAGAAGACAGAAGAAAATGGAGACGTGCAGTTGAAGCCCTATGTTCCACTAGGAACCCAAGGGAGCAATAATAATAATAATAATCATATCAAGTTACTCGCATAATTTTCTTGCTTCATTTGTATACATGAGTGGAAATGACTTGATATTTAAATAAAAATCGGTATGTGATAATGTACATTCAGAAATAATAATATTCGTGTCATTGATCAAATACAATCAAATGGGAAATAAGATGAGTGTTTTTATAGTAAAATAAATAAGTAACTTGTTAGAATGTTGTGATGTACGTGAATTGAATTGCAATAGAATACAATTTGAGATTATTTATTATCCTCTTCTAATTTGACTGACTGGTGGTAATAATATTTTCCATATTTCTGGTATTTGCATTGAGTCATTTCTGTTGCATGTGTTATGTTGGGTGTAGACTCAATGAACCAGGATTCAGTAATCAACCACGTCTCTCTCCACCTACATAGATTACTTCTTAGAATCTTAACCCTCTCCCACCCCATTGTGTGTTTGTGTATTAATACATGCAGTGCGATTGCTGAGCTTTTTTCTAAATTACTTTTCTTCTCGGGGTCAACCATTCCCACAATCTGATTACCCCCGATTCACTAGGTTTGACCTACATAGTTGACCTCACAGTCATTACAAGGTATTTCGTAAATTATATTATTTGGTTTAATTGGGTCCTATATTCCACTTGAAACGCAAAGAACGAAGAGAAACTGAATTTTAACTTTCAGTCAAGTTTGCATTATAATACTAGGCCAACTCAAAATTTGTATGTTTCATTGAGGATATCTGATTTACAGGAAATTAAAACGGAATGGCTGAGTTTTTTAAACGAAAACGAAAGTTCTATCCGTTTCTTGTCTTACAGCATTCGTACTGGTCATGGAATGAGGAGATTTTGAAAAAGTTTGCGTTCTATGATCCTCATAGTCTATTGGGAGAGAGAGAGAGAAGATGAGCACACAATGGTTTGACAGCGAGACATCGAAAGACCTGGTCTTAGTGGATGACTTGTGCTTTAAGTCACATAAACTCTAAGATTCACAGGCGAAAATCAATAAGTTGACAGGACAGTCAGCAAAGACTGGAAGGAGGTGATGAATATACCTCACCAACAACTAAAAGAACCAACGACCACCGATTGGAGAAACCTAAAAGAAGTCGTCTCTTTCACTAGACTGTACCAGGCATCACCATTTCAACCACAGGCGGCATAGATGAAGATGTCGAAGACAACCAAGAATGCGAAAGCAAGAAGTACCTTCATTCATTCTAAATCTGTTGCACTCAACTTAAGCAACAAGATCAGATTTATCCGCCGTTATGTCGAATTACTTTTTCTTTGTTATTCGTCAAGCCAGCTAAGGAGGACTGCAGAAAACCGAGAGGAATAGTAGTGTTGTAACAACAGAAGACAAGGACCGGGCAACAGATCGTTTATTAAGAAATCAACATGTATTTACATATTTTCATGTACATTATTATAGCTTATTCAAGTAGATGAACGCAGTCTTCTGATTGGTTGTTTCTCACTGCAAGTTAATCTTTCATCTCTTTGTGTCTGTTTCTTGAATTTCAGATCATCTATATGCTAATTGTATCCGCCTACGCAAAGTCTGCTGTGGTCGGTTGTTGAATCAGTCTTTGTTCATATTTTCTCACGACCAATATTTGAGACATAAATATTGATGAAAATTAATGTCTACCAATTTGGCTAGCAGCCTGCTCTCACCCTATGTCCTACTCGGAATCCTAGGGAACGATAATAGCAAATCTTAGCTTTCCACTTAGCAAATTACTGTTCACTTCACTTCACCACACATATATCTGAAATATGGTCATCAAACGGAACAGTCATAATAAAATTATCCACTGGTTTCTATTCCTGAGAAATGCCTTCAAAACATAGTTTAGCATCAAAGTATTCAAAGAAAATATTAATTATATCATTGCGTAAGTATAGGGAATGACCTGTGTTACTACAGTTAGTGTCATTGTTCAGTGGTATCCAAATGATTTAACTAATGACCACAAAATTAAATTTATTCTACAAAATGTTTCATAAGGTTATATCTCTGACCTTTTGCTTTTCAGTTAGATCACTTACTTTTTTCAAATTCTGAGCCTGTTGCGTCAGAAATCCCTGCGCCAATGGAGTATTTTGGTCAAGTAAGTAATCCCTAAAGACTTTCTAAAATTTTTGTATTCCCGCGAGTTTGAAAGTGAACATAAGGTCTTAAGTGCCAATCTTTGAAGTTTCAGTGTTTGTGGTGTGTGTGTGTGTTGTCTTTATGGGGTCGAGTCGCTAGCCTCATGCTAAACCTTCACTCTTTCACTGGCTTACTACTGGCATGGTTTTGAAGTTTGTCGACAGGAAGTCGAACACAGAATTCCCTTGTGGTTGGTGATGATTCCACCATTGAACCAATTCTAAATAGTGTAGCGAAACACAAAATAGTTGAGCAAAGAATATCCTTTTCGATAATTTCCTCTTCTAGCTCTAAAATTACATATATATATATATATATATATATATATATATATATATATATGCTTATATACATTGAATATTCTAAATAAGTATTCAATAGTAATATTAGTGTTTTTTAAATAATATCGATTAGTAAAGTAAGATCAGTGGGTCACCACTAGGACCCATTCTAGCCGACATTTTCCTTGCGAAATTAGAAAATGGGCCTTTGAAGGATGTCATTAATGAACTCGAATTCTATGGTCGGTACATGGATGATACATTTTTGATTAAGAAAAATGAGTAGGAAGCAAAGAACATTCTGGATAAATTTAAATAGGTTCATCCTGCAATGAATTTTACTATTGAGAAAGACAAATTCTCTAGTATTTGATTTCTAGACGTCTTTATTACCAGAAAAGAGGGTGGCACAATAAAAAGAAGTGTATGCAGAAAACCTGCATCAACTGACTGTCAGTATGCTCATTTTTTCCAGCCTTTGAAATATAGACACAATCTGATGAAGTGCTTGGTTTACAGAGCAAGAGCAATCTGCTCGGATGAATGTCTCTATGAGGAACTTAACAATATTTAACGGTTGCTGAGTGGGAAGGGTTATCCAGAAAAGTTTATTGGTAAGAATATGAATCTAAAATCAAACCAGCCAAAGGTACCAGGAGTTCTTAAAAACGACATACTCTTACAAATTCAGTTCCTAGGGGACAAAATCAGTGAGATACTAACACAACGTCTTAGAGATGCGATAAAACGAGCATTCCCTGGTGTTGAATTACGCTGTTTCTTCAAAACCACACACTGGTATTTCGCCTTCGGAAGTAAAAGACAAACTGCTTAATTTTGCCTCTTCCATGTGTATCCACCAATTTAACAGCTCCTGTGAAGTGAGCCAGTTACATAGGCCATACAATTAGGCATGTCTATAGTCGGATCTCCGAATATCATCCTGCACGTGGTTATGTAAAGGACAAACAAAATCCATTCATAGCCCTATTCAGTCTCATCTTATGGATATAGAACACAAGATCGATGTCAACGAGGCTTTCAAGGTCTCTAGTGTTCTAAATAATACGTTTGTTTCTTTAGCTTTCCTAAGTTTCTTTCAGCTATATTCATCATGCTTTACTAATAATTCATATTAACAATCTGCAAAATGCTAGGAATTCGCCGAAAAAGAGTCTCTTCGCTGAACTACTTGTCTTTTGTCTATAAATGCTAAAAGCAAAAATACTGTTAACAGTTAGAATGAAATAAAAATAACTCCGGTGATTCATTACTAGGCAAAACTTATATCAATTTTCTAGACATTTCTGCTGATACTGACTGAATTCTGGTAGTGAAGTTTGTAGTGTGATCACCAGGATAGGTGACTCATTATTGTGGTATGTTTTAAATTGGTGTTAAGTATCTGGAGGCGATCAGCAGGAAGCCGTGGATCCAGGCTTTTGTGAGTTGACACTCGCCAGCAGGGGCAAATTCACAACTTCAAAGAAATCAGTGTCCCTTTGAAGAATCGGACCTAAACCATCCAGTGCTGAAATCACAACCATTACCACTGAGCTATTGGAGCTCATGATTTACATTTTTCATCACTATGAAGGATGTCGATGGTGAACACTCTGTATCAAACAAGTTTGTAACCAATGTATGTTTTACAGTTCTACTGAAGGATATTGTGTGGCTCTCTAACCCACTTGTGATGCTCAGCCGTTAGTTCCTTCAAGTTTTTAGGTAATACTTACTGATGAGCTCCAATAAGCATGACACTTAGATCCGATACTTCCTATCACCTCGGGGAAAACTACACAGATTAGACAGATAATTGTATAGTCCTGATTTGAGAATAGTGATATGTACTTATCAACGATGTACGGCCGACACACTCTTTTACCTCACTAAGCCAGTAGTAAGACTAGTAAATAGGGAAGGTTGGGCATGAGGCTAGCAGCCCCATCCTGTAAAAATCATCACCATTGCTACACAGAAACTTCAAGCCTCTAGCTTGAAGCCGCCCTATGTTTCACTGTGAACGTAAATGAATAAAAAACCATTTATCAATTATAATAATAACTTAAGTCTGTAAATGTTATCATCTGAAGAGAAGGAAAACAGCTCGTGTCCAGAGTGTGTCAATCAAACAACACATGATATTCCCGAGTGTTTTTTATTCCTTGTACTCCGACTGCAAAATTGGGCTTGAAGATTTTAAATTCTCATTATTAATGCTGTTGCTTCTATGGCATTCCAAATCGAAACTACCTAGCGAACGGATAAATGACCTTGAGCAACCAGTCAGGTGACTGTGTTTTATCCAGAGGTAATTATGGATGCTCTACACCTTTCGCGTTGCAAATTCGCTTCAGATCTTGTTTTTGATTACTGTTTGGATAACAGACTGATAGGAAGATCGAAAAATTGCCAATGTGGAGGTGTCATGCGTATACGAGGATATACTAGGTGCATTGATGGATTTGTTTACAGGTGCGATGAGTGCCAAACCAGAATGTCAGTTCGAGAAGGTATGCGGTTCTTTTTATAGTTTACAGGTTCCTTAGGTACTTTTCCCCGCCAAGTCTAAATTACCTCTAACGAAAATTGTAATGATGTGTCATAACTGGATGCTTAAAATACCAGTAACAGCAACGGCGTATAAAACAGAAAATTCAAAAGTGTCTGCCTTGCAGTGGTACCAGTACTGGAGAGACATAACATCATGGAAAATGAACAGGCTGACTTAAGTACCTGGCGTCATTGTTCACCTGGATGAGACAGTGCTGATAAAACGAAAATATAATCGAGGAGAGATTGAGTGCAAATCAGCAGTGGGTGTTAGGGATACATGACACCACCCTCCACAAAGGATACATTTGGACGACGCCTAATCGCAATGCAGATGTCTAATTGCCTATTTTTCAACGCTTAGTGCTGTCTTGAACAACTATTCATATAGATCAATGGAGTAGCTATAGTTAGTTATCAACCCTGGGATATATTCATCGCGTCGTCAACCATACAAATGATTTCATCATTCCTTTCGATGGAACTCACACTAAATGCATTGAAAATTTTTGGACTCACCTCAAAAACGGATCGGATCTGTGAATGGACCAAGAAACGCAATGATATACAGTAATCTCGATGAGTTTATGTGCAGGGCTTGATTTAACATAACAAGTATCAAGACTCCTATGGGAAACTGGGACGTTTTTTGGAACATATATGACAACGTTATTCTTTGTAACTATTTTTTAGCATTGCATTACTTTTACATAAACGTTTTATTAAAATTATGCACCGTTTTCATAGGGGCTTCTGATTGGTCAGAGTTGTCGTTGTCAAGGTCATTTATCTGTTCCCTAGGTAGTTTCGGTTTGGGCTGCTATAGTTTAGAGTCACCGTGTCAGATTACTAGTCTCACGCCTAATCTTACCTCTTTCCCAGACCCTCTACTAGCTAGGCGAGGTTTAGAATTTGGATCGGCCAAGAATCCAAACCATGGGACTACATGCGTGGCTGATGAGCATTCTACCACTGAACCACCGATTATATATGCATAATATTGCCTTATTCACTGAAGAATACTGATAAACCGTCATATTTATGGAGCCTATGCAAAATCAGAACAGCCGAAAGTATTTAAAATTTCGCATATTTCATTATTGTCTTAATTACCAATGACAACGTAAACAAATAGAAGAAAATAAATGATTCAGCCTTTATATTCAAACTGACTATTTGTTTTGTAGAAGATCTTGTTGTATATTTGACCTGGCACCCAATAACCAAACTGATTGATAAACAAATTAATTACATAGTAGATAATGATTAGGGGTGAAATGATTTGTTTACTTGTAAAAAATAAAGTTTAAACTAATATTCTTTTGGTTAAAGGATTTCATCATGAGCTGACATCAGTTAGAGAGCCAATAGAAAACCACCACTGGAGCACTGGACAGCTGTTTCGTCAGCCTAGTTTGGGACTCCTCAGCAGTGGGTAACTAGCGGTTGGAGTCCTAACCCAGGACCTTCTCATTACAAGGCGAGCTAGCCCGTAGACTATCAAGCCACCGGGACCCGATCTAATGACCGGCCCATGAATTTTAACTTCTGCCAATTCACGACATAGCGCGACCACTTCGTAATGTCTTCTTCGATGAATTACTGCCTCATCTTCAACCTGCTGTATCCTACTGGCCACGGCTTCCCACTAGAACCCCAGGTAACTACGTACCTGAATACGGCCAGTCGCCAGTGAGCATCTCATTAATATTCAAGTATTGGTTTGTATGAAATCGGAAAGGGCTAATAAATGATGAATATTAGCCCATCTGATAAGGTTTATAATAAATTTTATATCAATGAGTAGAACTATATACTACTGGCTGGCTGAGATGATTAATTATGTAATAATCAGACCAATCAGCAATGCTTGTTAGCCAGATTGAAATGGCCAACCAGAAGTCGGGCTGTTTTCACTGATTTGCCCGCCTGAGATGAGTCGAACGGAGTACGTCATTGATCAGCCGTCTGGGATTTAGATCACTACTATCTAGCTGGCCAGTAAACAGTGCTACTCGTCTCAGTTCATCAGCAGTATAAAGTTGTACGCATTTACGCACACCTTCTGAATCACGATTTATGGTATCAAGCAGATTATATACATTGTGGTTTCTAAAGAGGATCTTCGAGAATGTCGATCGAGAGGTAAATTGGAAACTACTTCGCTACCACCAAGGGGTGCCGCCAACAATTATACACCTCACCCAACAGTTGTACGATAGACAATGCTGCATGCCAAGTAATCCACAACAGGAAACTCACGGAATCCTTCGAAGTGAAGACGGGAGTAAGATAAGGCTGACTGGCCTCTTGTAATTCATATCAAGTCAAAAATAATTATCACCTTCTATTCGCCTTTAAAATTATTTCTCCAGTTATCAAATAATAATTTTGCATACGTTGTAACTGTTCTCTAATCCTATGTAATCTTGTCTCTAAGCCCAGTGTAATCTATATTCATACCTTCAAACTTTCATATCAAATTGAAAATTATTATCACTTTCTTAACTATGTGGAATTAAACAAATAATAATTGTATCCATGTAAACTAATATGTATAAATGTGATTGTACAGCTGCTTTTGAGAATGAAATCGCCAAAAAGTAAGACATCTTTGCTGAACTTCTCTTTCTTTTCCCTCTATGGATATAACCACAAACATTTTAATTGTATTTCATAGTACATCAACATCAACAGCAACAACAACAACAGACAACAATCAGCATAAGTGGGAAGAACCTGAAAGAAACAGCCTCCTTCACCTACCTGGGAAGCATCGTCTCAACTACAGGTGGATGGAACTGACGAGGATATCAAAGCCAGAATCGGAAAAGCAAGACAAGCTTTCACTACTCTTAAGTCTGTGTGGAGGTCAACAGCACTCAGCATGATAATGAGAATAAGATCCCGATTTTCAACTCCAATGTGAAGTAATTGCTATTTTACACCGATTAGAGACTTGGTGTGTCATAAAGAGTACCTCAAACAAACTGCACACCTTCATTAACAGTTGTCTTCGCTCAATACTCAAGATTAGATGGCCAGAAAAGATCAGCAACAGGGATCTCTGGCAACGAGCGAACCACCCAGGAAACGATTGTGAAACAAATAGGCAGAAAGAAATGGAGATGGATTGGCCATACGCTGAGGAAACCATCAAGTGACATCACTAGACAAGCCCTCGAGTGGAACCCGAAAGGGAGGCGGCGAGTTGGTTGTCCAAGGGTGACTTGGAGGAGGTCATGCGAGGAGGAGATGAAAGCATGTGGACAGACCTGGAGCAGGGTGAAAAAGTTGTCAGAAAACCGAAGGCTATGGAGGTGCGCAGCTGAAGCCCTATGTTCCTCTAGGAACTAAAGGATACAATAATAATAAATAATAATAATTATCATTTCATGTATTCACACCTATGATTCAATACCCTCATTGGATATAACTTCTAAAATACCATATATGTACGATAAACATCTGGTAAATAATGATCTCTCTATCTCTACAGCCACTGTCTTCAAAGTCATCTACAAAGTGAAAAGTAATTTGCTCAAATCACTACGTATCCGAATCATCTGTATTGTTGAAGCAGCTTTGGCAGTCGAAAGAGAAAAGCCAGATCTCTGTATACAGAAAAAGTTTGTTGAACCCCTTCAACTTTCACAGTCTTAATCTCTCTATGCTAAAGCAATGGTAATCCCTAGTCATACTTTGGCTCCACCTATTTTTCGTTTTGTTTATTCAGTTTGTATACTCTTCCTTTATTACGTCAATTGTTATTATTACTAGTAGGATGATAAATTGGTTGAAATGCCTCTCCACGCAGAATCATTTGTTTTCATTGACATATTTTTTTTTCAAGGCAACAAGGAAAAACTGTTTATTCGATAATAGACTTCAGACTTTTTAGGTAAACTTCATAATGACATTGTTGGTTCTCTTGTTGGTAATTGTAGTGGCCCAGTTTTCGATTAGTATGCTTTACTCAGTAGATAATTCGTATGGAACTTAGGAGTTTCGTGAGGTATTTTTTTCAAGTTCATGTAATCTATAGTTTGGTTTGTAAGGGTTAGTTATGTTTTTACGAGTTGATCACGGATTGATATCAGTTACAGAAGCATTGAAAACTAGCACTGAAGTACTGGACAGCTGCTGTTTCGTCCTAGTTTGGGAATCATCGGCAGTACGCACCCACTGGGATTCGAAATGAGTATTTTCAATGCTTCTCTAAGTGATATCAATCCGCGATCTACTCGTAAAAACATAACAAACCCTTACAATCCAAACGATAGAAAATTAATCTGATGCTCGCTAGTGACTTGCTACAGGATGGAGTTTCCTATAGTTCTAGTAAGAAGTCGTGACCAGTGAGGTCCATTTAGATGTCACGTGTGTGGATGGATGTCCCCCACCAACGACAATGGCTAGGGTCGCGCTAAATCACGAATTGATAGAAGTTAGAATTCAAGCGGTGGCCACTGGATCGGATCCCAGTGGCTGAATGGTATACAAGCCAGCTTGCCTTGTAACCGGAAATTCCTGGTTTCGAATCCCATTGGGTGCGTACTATCGATGATTCCCAAACTAGGATGAAACAGCAGTTGTCCAATACTCCCAGGTTTTCAATGCTTCTCTAACTGATATCAATCCATGGTCAACTCGTAAAAATCATGTAATCTAGATAATAGATCACTGACTGCAGTGATCGGATTTACAGTGTGTAAGTTGAGTGATATACGGTTCCGTCTGAGCAAGATTCTTACCGAACGCCTTTGGATGCTCGTTTTTCTCAAAACAATTCATTCGAAAGTCAGTTTTCACATTCGCCTTATCCACTTTGACCGATGATCGGAAGTCCCTTGCTATTCTTTCATATAATGCGGAATAGAGTTTGTTGGAGAAAACACGACAAAACCCAAATAAGATGTAGTGTTTAAATGAGTATTTAATTTTACATAAAAATGCATTGGATGGATAGGGTGATGCACTGCAAAACTACTTTTTACAACAAGAACCCCAACCAAATTCAAATTAGCATTCTTTGTGAATAAATATCAATTAGAGAATCACTGATAACCAGTAAGCACTCGAAGGCTATTTCAGCAGACCCCACAAGGAATCGAACTCAAAGCCTATGGGTGAGGAAATGAATCACTTCACCACTCAGCCAATGAGTCGAAACCCACTGAAACATGGATTCCAACTCCCACCAGTTTGCCTGATATGGTTACATAATACCATCGCCAAGTACCTGTCCTCACACACATGACAGGATGAACCCAGTTGTGATGAAATCAACCAAATCCCTACAACCCTATTTTAGAACATAGGGCTTCAAGCTACTGGCTTGAAGTTTCTGTAGCAGTGTTTATTTTACCGGATGGGGTTGCTAGCCTCATGTCCAACCTTTCCTCATTACCAGAATTATTTCTGGCTTAGCGAGGTAAACGAGCATGAATTTAAACTATTAGTGGTCATTATTGTATATTTTTATATCAAGTGAACAGATTTATTTTAACTTTATACTGAGTTAATAAATTATTTCTTTTTCTTTGTTCTTTCCGCCCACCCCCTCTTTAATAGTATCAAGGGTTTTCCATATACTCCACAGATAGTGAACATTTAAAAAGTAGTGATGTTGGTGAGTTGAAATTCGATGGTATTGGAGGAGAAGGCTTCGTATACACATGGAGTGAAACAGACGGCTATGTACGTTGTGTTATATGATAATATTATGAATTGGTTGTCATTTATCCTTATCTCTTGCTCATGCTCGCATTTCTTAAACAGAAAAATATACACTACTGCATATTTTAAGTAGTATGAAAAAAGACAGAAAATATTTCTTTTCACCCCAGTGGTTATGTTTAAATAATAATAACTTTATTCTCAAGAAAATTTTATACAAAATGAAATTTTCACGATTTATACATCACAATAATTTGAATCTTTTGACACATAAAATCAAAATGGATAATCACAAAAACTAGAGTCAACAAAATGTAAGTGTAAAAAAGGAAATTAATATGTAATCGATTGGTAGGAATATACCTATTATCCCGTTGGTTCTCGAGTGATACATAAGGTTTTAGTTGAACATTTCCACTTCAGTCTGTTCTGTGTAGCCTTTTCTAGCTGGCTGCAACGTCGCCTACAACATTCCACTTCCCTATCACGCAATCTCCTTGATGTCACTTTCGAAGACTGAAACCAACTCTCGCTTCCTGTCTGTCTGTTTCACACGATTACTCCTGGCGCTTGATATCACTCACTGGTACACTCAGTGTACGTCTAAGCTAATTCAATTTCCTTCTGTGTATCTGTAGGCCGATAAGTTCGTTAACTGCCAGAGCTCCCTGTTGCATATCTTTTCTGACTGGCCTTTTTAATTGAAGAGTTTCTGATGTCATACATATTTACATTGATAAAAACTTATGTCATGTTTAGGCTGTTAACAGGTGAATAAAACATAAAATAATTGAACAAAGAATATCCTTTTCGATAACTTCCTCTTCTGACTCTACAATTATATACAAATTTTCATATACATAGAATATTCTAGAATAGTAGTCAATAACAATATTGGTCTTTCTAAATAATATCTTGATGAGGAACTTCATAATATAAACGGTTGCTAAGTGAAAATGGTTATCCAGAAACGTTTGTTGATAAGAATATGAATCTAAAATCAAAGAAGCCTAAGTTACAAACAGTTCCAAAATGGCCTTATTCTTACAAATTCAGTGCCTCAGGAACAACGTCAGCGAGATACTAACACAACGCCTTAGAAATGCGATAAAAAGAGCATTCCCTGGTGTTGAATTACGCTGTTTCTTCAAAACCACACACTCGTATTTTGCCTTCGGAAGTAAAAGACAAACTGCTTAATTTTGCCTCTTCTATGTGTATCCACCAATTTAACAGCTCCTGTGAAGTGAGCCAGTTACATAGGCCATACAATTAGGCGTGTCTATAGTCGGATTTCCGAATATCATCCTGCACGTGGTTATGTAAAGGACAAACAAAATTCATTCGTGGTGCTGTTCTATCTCATCTTGTGGATACAGAACACAAGATTGATGTTAACCAGGCTTTCAGAATCATTTGCTGCACTCCAACAAAACTTAACCTCTCCGTAAGATTTCGTTTACTAAATATCGCTGAGGCTGTTGGAATCCATATTAACAAGCCTAATTTATGTGTCCAAATGTTGCTGATTGAGACTTTGTCCTTACCTTGGCCATCTAGGTTTGAATGATCCTCAATTTGTTGTGGAAATTTCCAAATTTTAGTTGATATTCTGTTTGCTATTATATTATCTTTATTATTATTATAATTTAGGAATCTTTGGTGAACTGTAATTCCATTGGTCTTACTTAACAAATCGTATTATTTAAAAAACACTAATATTGTTTAAAACAATTAGTTCCCTTTATGAATTTAGATAAAGTAATAAGAGGACGTAATTTGTCTGAATCCTGTAATGTATTTGCGCTGAAAACACACTTGATGAAGAAGAAAGAAAGTTGACACAAACTCTGGTTGATAACAATTATCCAGACAAGTTCGTCAGGAGATATAAAGTAGTCAGAACACCAAGACCCACTCTCCAACCCGCCCCTAAGAAAGACGTGTACATCAAGCTCCCCTATATGGGACATCAAAGCAGCTTGATAACTAGATAAAGGCTGAACACTGTGGTTAAAAAGACTTTTTATGCAGCTAATATCATAATAATAGAGAATGTAAAGCCATTATATCAATCTAAGCCCTTCGAACATGCGAAAAATGACGTCACATCCCACTGTATTTACCAATTTGAATGTACGTATGGACACACATACATAGGGAGGACTCATCGATCTCTGCAAGTAAGGGCTTCAGAGCATATTCCAAAATGGCTCCAGAAACACATGGAATCATCAGAACCGATTAACAGTGAGAACAGGAGACCTAGCTCTTCTATTGCGAAACATATTATAGAGACAGGACATAAAATTGACGTTAACAGATCTTTTAAACCTATCTATAAAACGTGTTTAGCGGAGGGCGTATCCTAAAGTTTGTGGAAGCCCTAGCTGGCAATTAGAAAGTCCGAGCCACCTTTATGCGTTCAAAAACAATTTGTCATCACATTAAACCTTCCTTGGTAAATTTTGTTTCGATAGCATAGCAGATGTACTATTACCTCTGCTATTGGGTTTAGTGATCTTCATTGTTGGTCTGACCTTGAACATGTCCTTTTAACTTGACCTAAATTTATTTTTCAAGTGTTGGTTTTGTAGGGATTTGGTTTGATTTTATGGAGGATTTAATCATGAGCTGACATCAGTTAGAGAACCACTGGAAAACCTGCAGGGAATACTGGACAGCTGTTTCGTCCTAGTTTGGGACAGCTGTCCAGTACTCCTGGCAGGTTTTCCAGTGGTTCTCTAACTGATGTCAGCTCATGATTAAATCCTCCATACTAAATTTATTTCTCTCACCTCTTAACTCTTTACTAATTTCATATATATTCCTATGACAAGTCCGTGTGTGATCAGATTGTTCTAAATGTGTTGCGCAAAGACATACATTACACAATTCAGACAAATTACGTCTTCTTATTGCTTTAACTAATATTGTTATTGACTACTATTCTAGAATATTCTGTGTATATAATTGTCTGTCTGTCTGTTTTCGACATAGAACTTTACACAAATGTGAGGAAGTTCAAGTCGCCACACTCCGTGTAGCACGCGAAGCAAGAGAAGAAAGTACAAGAAAAGCATAATAGAAACAGTGAGCAGAGGTGTGAGACAAAGGAGGAGTAATAACGAAGAACAAAACAGTTTCATTGGAGATCATAAGTCACAAGGAGTGGATGCATCTGCGCCACTGAGAACGATTTTGAGCCATGTCACCAATTGTTTCCAACCATAGATTTTTACCGTCCCGAGGACCCCAGCCTGGAAGTCTACACCTTCCTAAGTGGCTTGTAATTGTATAATTGTAGATTCAGGAGAGGAAATTATCGAAAAGGATATTCTTTGCTCGATTATTTTGCGTTGTGATAGATTTTTGAATGAATATTTAAGCTGAATAAAAATCGAATAAAATAAGAAAGCATCATCTCTTTTAATCCTGCAGAAATGTTTCTTTTGTTTTTGCTTTGTTGAAATTTCATGTTTCTCTTGTTTTCTGTAAACTTATTATTGATTTTCATAAGTTACCTTTTTTTGTACAACAGAATATTCTCTCATAATATAATTCTGTTGTTTTACTTACAGATTTATCATGGAACTATACATAAATATACAAAGTCAGCAGCGATTAACATGAAAACACATTCACCAGCAGAAATTTTATTAATTTTAGTAGAAAATACTGGATACAATACAATATTTGATGGAAAACACAATCAGCTGAAAGTAAGTCTTCAGTGATATCATCAGTGGGACACAGTTCCCAGTCATTCTCGGAGCTCCCAGAGTATTCAATCCTTTTCACCTCGCTCACTCAGAAAATTCTCATTATTCATTATCATTATTCCAACTCCTGTATATTTTGGTCGTCTGTGATCTAGTAACCTTTCTCCCTACAGTTTTGTGCCTATGTCTTTCTTCAAAATGTAGCAACGTTCAAATGGTAACAAGAGTTCATTATGAGTTCACATCAGCTCGATAACCATTGGAAAACCTGGGAATACTGGATATATGTCTCGTCTGCCAACTCCAGATATATATAGCGTAACTGCCAGCCACTAACATCCACGAGTATTTGTCCTCATACGTGACCTGTTGTATCCAGTTGGTCACGACTTCTCACAAAACCCAGGTAACTACGTACCTGAATACGGCCAGTCGCCAGTGAGCATCTCATTAATATTCAAGTATTGGTTTGTATGAAATCGGAAAGGGCTAATAAATGATGAATATTAGCCCATCTGATAAGGTTTATAATAAATTTTATATCAATGAGTAGAACTATATACTACTGGCTGGCTGAGATGATTAATTATGTAATAATCAGACCAATCAGCAATGCTTGTTAGCCAGATTGAAATGGCCAACCAGAAGTCGGGCTGTTTTCACTGATTTGCCCGCCTGAGATGAGTCGAACGGAGTACGTCATTGATCAGCCGTCTGGGATTTAGATCACTACTATCTAGCTGGCCAGTAAACAGTGCTACTCGTCTCAGTTCATCAGCAGTATAAAGTTGTACGCATTTACGCACACCTCCTGAATCACGGTTTATGGTATCAAGCAGATGATATACATTGTGGTTTCTAAAGAGGACCTTCGAGAGTGTCGATCGAGAGGTAAATTGGAAACTACTTCGCTACCACCAAGGGGTGCCGCCAACAATTATACACCTCACCCAACAGTTGTACGATAGACAATGCTGCATGCCAAGTAATCCACAACAGGAAACTCACGGAATCCTTCGAAGTGAAGACGGGAGTAAGATAAGGCTGACTGGCCTCTTGTAATTCATATCAAGTCGAAAATAATTATCACCTTCGCTGATGAGCATTCGATTGATGTTCAAATGTTGGTTTGCGGAGATTTGATTGGTTACACGATCTCATCATCACATGAGAAGTTGTAACAAATGCCGTACAGCAGGTTGCGTGTGAGGACAAATACTCACCCGATGAAATCGGTTAGTGATCCCGCCTTATCATGAATTGACAGAAGTTAGAATTCATGGGCTGGGCATTGGATCGGGTCCCAATGCCTTAATGGTCTGCAAGCTCGCCTTGTAACCGGAAGGTCCTAGGTTCAAAACCTGGTGGGTGCGTATTGATGAAGATTTTTAAATTAGGAGGTATGAGATGTCCAGTACTCTCGGGTTCTTCAACTTATGTCAGCTCATGACGCGAACCCATCACAAATCAAATATCTGCAAAGCGACAATTTAAGATTGAAATGATAAGCTAAACAGTCATTCAGATAGACGTTTCACAAGGCGGACTTTTAAAAGAGATTCCAACTACTTTTGGTGGTGGTTAGTTGACCTACTTCAAGAGAGACCTCCAAGAGAGGAATTCATGAATACAAACGTGACGACAATCACTGAGATCTATTATTGGAGACTGAAATGCACAAACCTCAATTCATAGGATCCTAACTGCTTGATTGTGAATGAATTCGGTTTTACTAACTGTTGAAGAGTTTCAAACTAGAATAAAGTAAGTGTCCAGTATAATTTAGTGATTTAGTAATTGACGTATATTCGTGGAGATCAAGCTGGGCTCAGGAACAGCACACCTGAGAAGACTAGGTGGGTTTCAGGCTCTCTGTCAGTATCTGAAACACAGGTACACTTATCGAAATCAAACATTTTCCATATTTCATTTAACTAAGTTGATCGAAATGTGTTATGACAACGTCCAACTGTTAAGAGTGTATTCAGAATGTTTATTGCGGACTGGTCTTAAATAACTCCTACTTAAAAAATAAGGAATAAAATGTTTGAATGTGTTACTAGCTGTAACTATCTGCGGAGTTACATCAGAATTCACGAACTGGATGCTGATTAAATCTGAGCATGAGAATGAACGGCCTGTTTGACATCGCCCAACTTAAGTTATCTTTGACGCTAGATGGATATTCAGTTGTCAATAAAAGAATGTGTCTACTGTGCATCACTTTGTTCCATCCTACTATACGGTTGTTAGATATGGGTAGTGAAGGTTTACAGGATCAAAAATATTAGTGTTTTTTGACCTCAGATGTCAAACTGTGCTCAAATTGTGATTCGAATACTGAGGCTAGTCTTGGAGTGTTATATAAAGTGAAAAAATCAGCTGATATTTAGTTTGAAACCTAAAAGACGTAAACAAGTATAAATTCATGAAAAGTGAGTTTTAAACCGGCTCATAAAGTCAGTATGTTAACCTTCAAAGTTACTCATATTTCAATATTAATACCAACGGACATTTCATAAATGCTATAGACATTACTGTAATTGCTTTTAAGGGAATATTGATTCTTTTTTTGGCAATCATATTCTGATTGGTTACAGGATTTCATTATGAGCTAACATTGGTTAGAGAACCATTAGAAAGCCACCACTGGAGCACTGGACAGCTGTTTCGTCCTGGTTTTGGACTCTTCATCAGAACGCACCCACAGGGGTTCAAAACCAGGACCTTCTGGTTACAAGGCGAGCTAGCTCGCAGACCATTAAGCCAATGGGACCCGATCCAATGGCAGGCCCATGAATTTTAACTTCTGGCAATTCACGACATAGCGCAACCGCCAGCCAATGTCTTCGACTGGCTCCATAATCCGCCAAGCGTTGGTTCGCAGGGATTTTGAATGAATTCAAGTTTGACCACGAGCTGACTTTTTTCAGACAAACATTAGTGATAACATAAATAAGAGAGAATATAAGTCATCCACTGTTATATCCTAAGTAAGATTCTTAATAAAGCAGGAATCAGAAAGGCATTCAAACCTGCAAACTCACTCAGGAACAAGCTCTTAGGGTTAGAGGATCCTACTGACCCAATTAGACAAAATAATATAATTTACAAAATACCTTGCAATGACTGTGAGTCAGGTCAACTACATAGGTCAAACTAGTAGATCGGGGGTAATCAGATTGGCGGAACATAAAAAAGGGTTAGAATGGTCGACCCCAAGAAGATAAGTAATTTAGTGAAAAAAGCTCAGCAATTGCACTACATGCATTAACACACAAACACACAATGGGGTGGGAGAGGGTTAAGATTCTAAGAAGTAATATAGTTAGGTGGAGAGAGAGATTGATTACTGAATCCTGGTTCATCGAGTCTACACCCAACAGATGCAACAGTAATGACTCAATACAAATACCAGAGATATGGAAAATATTATTACCACCAGTCAGTGAAATCAGAGGACGATAATAAATAATCTTAAAATTCTATTTCAATTCACGTACATCACAACATTCTAAAAAGTTACTTATTTTGACTATAAAAACACTCGTTTTATCTCCCATCTGATTGTACTTGATTGATAACACTAATATCATTATTCCTGAATGTACTTTATCTTATGTTGATTTCTATCCAAATGTCTAATCAATTCCACAAATGTATATAAATGAAGGAAAAAAGTTGTGTGAATGTTTGTGTGTGGCAATAATTTGTGCTCAAAACGTGGTCGCGCATCAGTTAATATTACTGTATAACATCACTGTGTTATATATCGAAATAAAATCCTATCCATAATGGAGTTATACTCTACCACCACAGTGCCAAGTTTTATACTTATATTAGCATTTAAAATTCTTCAGTACTTGAAATCTGTTTCATCTTCGTTTGGGAATCTTCATATATCACAAAGTGTCAGAAGTTAGAATTCATCGACCGTTACATTCCATTGCAATCGCTGGATGGTCAGCCTAGAGGTTCCGGGTTCGGTCATAAGTTTCTGCAGCGGAAGAGTCCTAAACTGGGCCTAGTGCTCTCTGACTCTCACTAGTTTGCTAACTGAAGTCAATTTGTGAACAAATCTAAAAATCGTGTCATTATGATTTTATTTGAACACGCAACATTTGATAGTAATTTTTTTCTCCTACTTCTCTTTTGTATTTTCAGGGTCTTTCAGGTTCTGTTTACTTTAATGACAACGAATTAATCAATTGGTCATTTTTGCCTGTAAAACATCCATTTATTGATATGCAAAATATGAGGTAAACAGGATATTATTTTCCTGCATTTGATTATTTCTATTATTTTAAAGAAAATCCCCTTTAGAAGTGCGATTTTTAATCATGAATATTACGTCGTTATTGTCCATCGGGATTCGAGTGGAACACTGAGCTTTAGCAGCACACTTCCCTTTCATTCTGTTCTCTATAGACATTTTTATGTAGCCCCATGATTAACCATTAGCTTTCATTACCTCCTTACATGAAATCTTCCATGTCAACCTTGAACTCACAATAAACTCGTCTCTCATTTCCTATTTGGGTTCCATTCAAGGGTCTGACTAGCATATGATGTCACTCATTGGTGTCACCAGCCTGTGTCCCATTCATCCCCATTACTATCTGCATATTTCGTTGCTAATAGGGTCTCGGTTGGTTCGCTGATAAAATCAATTGACTGTGCTATCTAGAAAGTTTTTTGATCACCACTATCGAAAAGCAGGTGGATAGGCTGACAAAATTATATATTAGCTTGTTGCTAAAGCTTTCGGTAACTTATGTCCCAAGTCTGTAAACCATATTAGAAGCAGCAGCTGATTAAATATCAGTGTTAAAAATGTCGGACCTTGTTCCTTGTCTTGAGTACTGTAGACTTCCACAGTAATTTCAGAGTAATGAACGCCTATCTCGCATTCTCTCCGGTCTTGACATTCTCATCTGTGTCACTGGTAGTGGAAACGACATTACTTAGATAAGTGAAAGAGATAACTTCCTTGAAATCTGTCTGTCTGTTTTCGACAAAGAGCTTTCCAAATATGTGCAGCAGTTCAAGCCTCCACACTCCCTCCTTGTAGCACACAAAGCAAGGGAAGAAAGTAGAAGAAATGCATATTAGAGACGGTAAACAGAGGTATGAGACAAAGGAATAGTAATAACGAAGAAGAATATAGTTTCATTGGAAATCATAAGTCACAAGCCAGCCATTGGGAACGATCACTTTGAGTCATATCACCAATTATTTAGGGCCATTGATTTTTACCGTCACGAGGACTGAAATCAGCCAGGAAGTCTACACCTTCCTACGTAACTGGCTTAAACTAACTGTTGTGGATTTTATTGACTGATGAAGCCATGTTTTGGTTTGATCGCCGCTAGCTGTTTTCCAGCCTGACCCTATGTCAGCTAACATTGCCCGTCGAGGAAGGCGATGACTAGGCATACATCGTAACACATATCCTAGCCATTTCAGTCGATGTAACTTCACAGCCTCGTTGATTGATTTCCCCTCCTTACCTAACACTCGACGCCTAGCCTGAATATTGCTCACCTTATTATACCACTTCATCACGGGAGATAGAGCGCAGGCACCTATGATCAAAAACATCTAATCTTTTCATGTCTCCCACTGTCAATGGCCACGTCCCAAAGGCAGAAAGGAAGACGGAGCGGAGTGCTGAGCATTACACCTGCCCCTTTAGTCGACAGCCAGCCGGATATCTCGTCTGCGCCAGAGACGGCGTAAACTGGGAAATGCGAAACCAGCCCCCTGTATCCGTGCTGTGATTTCGTCAGAGATCAACCCGTTTGAGTTGGTTGATGGTACTTCCCAAATAAGTTAAGCGGTCAACGTGCTCTACCACTTCACTTCGTATTTCTAATCTGGGAGTCGGTGTAGTCCAGTCCTGTAACATCATCTTGCATTTGGCGGGAGCGAATCGCATGCCAAACATTCGTAGATTGCAGCTCAAGGTGTTCAGAAGACTCTACATTTTGTCAGCGTCCTCGTCTAGAAGGACTATATCGTTTGCATATTCTAAGTCAACGAGACTATTATTCCCTGGTAACAAGTCAATCCCTGAGTCTCTGAAGTGAGTTAGGGTTAAATCCATTAGTACATCTACGACGAAATTGAATAGAAATGGGGATAATGGGCATCCTTGACAGACACCACTAGTCGTCACCAGTTCAGATGACAACTCGCCATAAGCCCTCACCCGGCTGTGTGAGTTCGCGTAGAGTGCCTTGATCAGTGCAATGTATTTTCTCGGAATTCCCTTTACGGCCAAGCATCGCCAAAGTACCTCTTGGTTAACAGAATCAAATGCCGCCTTAAAATCAAGAAATATAATAATTGTTGGACGTCGGTAGGAATGCCTATGTTCTAGAATCTGTACAGGGTGAAGATATGATCAATACACCCTCTTCCTGGTCTAAAGCCTGCCTGGCTCTCTCTGGTTTGTATCTTCCAAGCACCCCTCAGTCTACGCATGATTATTGAGCCTAGGACTTTAGATACTATATTAGTCAAGCTAATCCCTCTGTGATTACCACAGAAAGACTTGTCTCCCTTCTTGTATATCGGGGTTATCAATGACTTACACCAACCCGACGGGACTTCTTCTGATTCCCAGACGCTGCCTAGTACCTCAGTTAATGCAGACAGTAAACTGTCTCCACCGTACTTAAATGCCTCTGGAGTCATTCCATCAGGTCCCGCTGCTTTGCCTAGTTTCAGATTGGTGACAGCTTTAGTAACCTCAGTTAGGGATGGAGGACCTGTGTCTATATCCCATTCAGGGAGGTGTTGGATGTTCGGCAGGTTGAGCGTGGCTGTAGGCCATTTAAACTACTCCCCGTAGTGCTCTTTCCAGCGTTCCGGCCGCCTATCCTGAAAGCTAATTATGGTGTCATTTTTCTCAGAGATTGTTTCACTTATCACTTGCCTTTTACCATCTGTTTCCCTAATAAGCCTAAATAGTTGCCTGAAATCTCCCTATTTGACCGAGGCTTATTGTTGCTGGTAGCGTGTTTTCATCACCTCTATCTTCTCTGTGTTCACTTGCAGTCCTACCTTAGTGCTGCCTCTTCTGCCAACTTGATTGTTTTCTCTTTTAGATATTCTGGTTTGTGAGATATGAAATATAAATCACTTGTGAAATCCACATTTCTGTGGGTATTTTTGTTGGTAAAACGTATATCTGTCTCTTTACTTTCCCCTGTCTAACGCATGACCCATAGCACTACCATCTAGAAGACCACCGACGCCAGTAGGACAGTCTTGTATTACTCCTGTCTTCAATTTAATAACGAAATGTCAAAAACGAAAAGCCGAAAATTGATGTCAGACAAACTATTAGATTAAATTGGTTGGCTACTTACATTATTCGCAGTAGTATATTTTATTACACAATAAATAGTGGCTATATTTTAACTATTTTCCTTCTTTCACAGTCAACCGCTGACAGAAACAGATATGAATATCCCTGGTGTCATTTACACATCATTTATCTATATTGAAAATGAAGAGAAACTGACTGATCTATTCATTGAATATGACGCTTTCTTTGATGTAAGTTCAACAATATTGATAAGAAAAATAAAACAATTCCAACAGTGGTGTGAACACGGGCAGCAGTAATTTTGCTCGAAATATTACCAATAACAAAACTTATCATTGTGTGTAAACTATTAAAATATAATTATACTTTATTTGATCTAATCCACAATGCTCAAACTTTCTACTGATATTAAAGAAAAATAGTAGTGTAACAACAGAAGACAAGGGCCAGGCAACAGATCGTTTTATTATAAAAATCAACACGTATTTATATATATTTCACATACATTTTTATAGCTTATGCAAGTAGAAAAGCGCAGTCATCTGACTGGTTGCAGACAAACGCAGGCTTCTGATTGGTTGTTTCGGGATTCCTTGACAAATAGAGTTCTCTATCTGCGAATCATATTTTGCCACATTAACTTTGCTGTGATTGGTTGTTGAATCAGCCTTGTTCATATTTTCTCATGGCCCATATTAGTGACCTAGACATTAACGTAGATTAGTGTCAACCAATCGGCTAGCAGCCTGCTCTCACCACAGTAGTAATGAAAGCATATTTTTATTTTCCGATAAGTGTAAATTTGACAAACAATTTTTCACTAAACGAATTCCTAGTTTGAAACACTTCAGTCGTAAAAAACCCACCGCCACTGTTCGAACCCAGGGCTTTCTCGTTACAAGGCAAGCTTATAGACCATTGAGCCATTGAGACCCGATCCAGTGGCCAGCCCATGAATTCTAACTTCTGCCAATTCATGACAGAACCCCAGTGGGTGCGTAGTGATGAAAAGTCCTAAACTAGGGCTGACAAAACAGCTGTCCACTACTCCCAGCTTGTTTTTCAATGAATTCATGATGAAACCCTCCATCCAATCAAACAATATCCCTACAAAACCAATACTTTAAAATTAAGATTAGTCAAATTACCGTATTATAGGTAACTTTAAATGTCTTGTTAACAACAAATTTACATTCTAACTGAAAGGTACATATAAATAAATGTCTTCATTCGGTTCCTTTTTTGTCTTCCAAATATCAAAATGGAACATTTTCGCTATGTTAACAACTAACTATTTCAAGTCTACTATACTGTGAACATGTTTTTTTTTTGTTATGTATGTCCATTTTAGGGGATTATTTACGTGAATGATAATTATGTGGATTTAATACGGCCAACGTTAACGCGTGAAATAAATTATACTGCATATATTCCTAAAACTTATTTACATGTAGGTAATAATACTATTTCACTTGCTACAGTTGAAAATTTGAACAATGAACAATTGATTGTGTGTAGAAAAAATTAAATGGAAAAAATTGAGGTATTTTATTTTTAAAAAATAAATTTATTTGTAATGAAATATTGTTACATTATTGTTCTCTTGGGTTCCGAATAAAAAATAAGGCTTCTACAGCACATCTTTGCTTTGTCTAATTCTCTGAGGGTCCTCTTTAACTCGCTACACCAGGGTCCACATAGACTCTCATCTCCTTCTCTCACGATCCTTAAAATGTCATCCTCAGACTCATTCCCAACTCGTCGTTCCTCATTTGGGTTCCAGTCGAGTGGTGGCTCGACACGATGATATTTGACGGTCTCGTCAGGATGTGCCCGATCCATCTCCACTTTTTCTTCGTCATATTTGTTCACCACTAGGTTCTAGGTTGGCTTGTTCTCAGAGTTTCGTGTTGCTAATCCTTTCAAATCATTTGATCATTAATATGAAGCCAATGAAGGCAGCTCTTGATAAAAGTATGCAGCCTTTCACAGAGATGCTTTTCGTGACGCGCACGCCAAGTTTCTGATCCATGTAGAAGAACTGACTCGCTTAACATTTGTGATGGAAATCCCAGCCTTGTTCTTTATGCTGGGTCCAAAAGATTTCCGATTCTGGTTTCGATATCCTTGTTGGTGCTGTCCCCTGCAGTTGAAAGGATGCTGCCTGGTCAGATGAGTGAAAAAAAATGACCTCTTATTCCATTCATAATGATTGGTAATCAAGTGTTGTTTTGTAGGGATTTGATTGGTTTCAGGATTTCATCATGAGCTGACATTAGTTAGAGAACCATTGGAAAACCTGGGAGTACTGGACAGCTGTTTCGTCCTAGTTTGGGACTCTTCATCAGTACGCACCCGCCGGGGTTCAAACCCAGGACGTTCCGGTTACAAGGCGAGCTCGTATACCATTAAGCCACTGGGACTCGATCCAATGGTCCTTGAATTCCAACTTCTGCCAATTCACGAAATAGCGCGACCGCTCGCCTTGTAATCGGAACGTCCCGGGTTCGAATCCCGGTGGGTGCGTGCTTCTGAAGAGTCCCAAACCAGGAGGAAACAGCTGTCCAGTACTCCCAGGTTTTCCAATGGTTCTCTAACTAATGTCAGCTCATAATGAAATCCTGGAACATAATGATTGGTGCTTGTTATTTTTGTTGTGGTTGTTTATCTTGATCATCTCCGTCTTCTCTATATTCACCTGAAATCCTCTCCTGTCTTCGCTGTGTGCCTCTTCTGACACCTTGTTGATTTTTACCTGTAGGTCTTCGAGTTTCTGTGACACTAGATATAAATCGTCAGCGAAATCTAAATCTTCTTATCACTCCGACATATTTCTGCCTTCTCGACATCCACAGTCTGATGCATAATCCAGTTTACCACAATTAGGAATATCATTTATGATAATCGGCGGGCAGCCCTGTCTTACACCTGTCTTCACTTCAAAGACTTGGCTCAGTTTTCCATTGTGGATCACTTGACACATAGCATTGTTATACAGCTGTTGAATGAGGTTGATTTAGGGCACTTCATAGCGTTGAAGTAGTTTCAAAATAACTTCACGGTCAATGCTTTCGACAGCCTTTTCAGAGTCAATGAAGTCGAGATAGAAGTTTGATCGTCATAAGAATGAATGTTCACTTCCTGAGAAAGTATAAACTTCATGCAATTCTTTCCATTAAAAAAAAAGTCAGGTAAAGCAAGAACGACAAACACACAAGGATAATATGAGCTCAACTTTCTATTATTTCGAGAATTTTTCTCAACTGGCTACAATCTGAATAATACAAAAGCATAACTTACATTAAAGATTTGAACATAAGTTTAACACGATGAAAAAGAGTAGTTGGTAGGAACTATGAGTAATATACATGCGGAATGATGTAAGTTATTTTAAATATTTATGATTATCAAGTGTTGTTTGGCAGAGATTAGATTGGTCATACATTTGACCACTAACTGACATTAGTTAAGGAACTACTGAAAACCCTTGAAGTACTAGACAGCTACTTCGTCCTAGTCCGCCGGAACTGTTCAACAGTACACACCTACTGGAATTCAAACGCAGGACCTTCTTGTTTAAACTGTAAGCTCGCAGACTATTCAGTAATTGGGAAATGACACAGCGGCAGGCACATGAATTCCAACTCTTGCCAATCCGTGACACATATATATAGCGCGACTGCCAGCCAATGTTATAGGCCAGTAATTATTCTCTTATCTGACTTCGTACCCCCTCTCTAATTACTATTTCTCACTAAAATTCTAGATAACCTCATGTATCCAGCCAGTGGCTAGTAAGCACCATATTCATTATCAAGCGTTAGCTAGGAGTTTAAAGAATTGGGCATTCATTTCACCGGTTTGTTCCTATCCAATATAAACGTTCCCTAATGAAATCTTTGTTTTCAAAGGCCCAAAAAATATGCACGAGTGACACATTGATAGATGAGCTTCGATATATACATTCAGTTTTATTAGCTAATAATTATCCATAAAACTTTATCAGTTGTTACAGTAAAGAAAGAACACATCTTGAAAAGACAACTTCTGTACCAAAGAAATCTATCTTTATTAACCTACCATTCAAGGGTGACTAGATTATGCAGTTGACAGCTAGCTCAAAGACTTCGGTCAGCCATCAAATGCACATTCTACGCCAAATCTCTTTTTCTCACATACCGAACATTTTCGATCCCTGTACCTACTATTAAAGGACGAAATTCTGTGATATCTACTTCAAATTGTATCTACAAGTTCACCTGTAGCTGTGGTGACATCTTTATAGGTAGAACCAATAGAATGTTCCAACGTCGTCATCCAAAAGAACATGTTCCAAAATGGTTACTAAATTATGTAGAAAATCCCAATGCGATTAATGTGAATAGAAATCAACATCATCCATCGCAAAACACTTATTAATGTCAGGTCACAAAATCGATATTAATGACTGTTTCACAATTATTTCACGTAATCCTAATTCAAGGTTATCGAACGTGGTGATAGAAGCACTTTGGATTAATCACATACAGCCTAAATGGTGTGTACAAAAAACAATAGACTTCAACCTTCGCCTACCATGAACTGACTAACTGACCTATTTAAATATGATTGGTCATTAGTATATACATTTGTTTTTTATATTACTGAGTAATTGTCATGAACTTTATTTTATGATTATTTTTTTACGAGTTGATCACGGATTGATATCAGTTAGAGAACCATTGAAAACCACGGAGTACTGGACAGCTGCTGTTTCATCCTAGTGTTTGGGAATCATCGGCAGTAGGAACCCACCGCCAGGGTTCGAACCCAGGACTTTCCAGTTACAAGGCAAGCTGGCTTGTATACCATTCAGCCACTGGGACACGATTCAATGGCTCGTGAATTCTAACTTCCACTAATTCGTGATTTAGTACGACCCCAACCATTGTCGTTGGTGGGGGACATCCATCCACACACATGACATCTAATTGGACCTCACTGGTCATGACTTCTCACTAGAACTCAGGAAACTCCAACCTGTAGCAAGTCACTAGCGAGCATCAGATTAATTTTCTATAGTTTGGTTTGTAAGGGTTAGTTATATCCAGTACTCCAGTGCTGGTTTTCAATGGTTCTCTAACTGTGATATCAATCCGTGATCAACTCGTAAAAACATAACTAACCCTTACAAACCAAACTATAGAAAATTTATTATTATTACTGTTCACCATGTTAGTTGTAAAGCAATTGTTAAGGAACTACCAAATAATATCATCATCTCGCGAACTTTGCGCTTTAAATGCCTTATTCAAATTTATAGGATAGGTGGACAGATAACCTTGGAAACAAAAAGACAGAGTTCAACAAACTTTTTTCGAGTAGAAACTGAGTTCAACGGTAGAAAGAGTAATCGAAGAAGATATGTTTTTATAAAATAGAAAAAAAAGGAGGGTAGGGTGAATAGTGTTTAGATGAAAACAAAAAAATTTTCTAAAGACGACCGAAGATGACCCAATAAAATTGAAAACACTTTGTTATCACCAAATCAATGCAACATTCATCGCTGTATCTTTCTGCCTACATAGATTTAATTGGAATCGTCTAATGACGATTGCCACGGCACAATGTAGCAAGCTAAATTTCTTTCACCTGTTTAATAATAATAGTATATATATTTCATATAAACATATAAATTTACATGAAAATGAATGCCATTTTTACAGGCATGATCAAGTATGATATAGGCTCAAATGGTAGATTGTCTACAAGTTAATAATGTTTAAACAGTTAAATATTATATATATATATATATATATATATATATATATATATACACTCATTGGCTGAACCAGGCCGTATAGTTATTGAATTATACAGTTGTCCCCCAGGTTGCGCGAGAAAATCGACTTCGTCTCGTTTTCAACCCGTGGTTGTAGGCATACGTTAACCAACCAATATTGAGATAAGTACAACTTTTACAAGGGATTGAAAGCGGTGAATTTAAAGTTTCTTATGATGAACGCCTTCAGATTGCCTACAGTATGTAAGTGGCGGATTTAGGCACTGTAGTAGAATGTAATTTAAAAATTATATAAGTTTATTTTAAATATCACACAGTAATGCCGCAATAAAGCCTTGATTCAGTTATTAATAATCCAGTTATGAATACTGCATCACTGTGATATTTTTGAAATAAACTGTTTTAATGCCTGTCAGGTTCTTTGATGCGTGTTCAGAAATACGGACAATAACCTGCCTCTCTGTTCTTTCAATGTACGTGCTTTGGCACGTACATCTAAACTGGTAGACACAGTTCGAGGTAATATGAGGTGGGAGTATAAATTAGCTACCTGACGCTTCAGACATTATCTGATGGATGGTGACTACCACAATATAATCCAGTAAGCAAATTTCGTCCTTTTTAGGACTCACCAGTAGGATGCTTTAACAATCCCCAGGGAGTGATATGTATTCCTACTGAAACTCGAAATCAAGCACCAACTGTTCAGATCGCTAAAGCACTGTGCAATAGGCAGCTTGGGCCATCAGCTTCTGTGTTAGGAGCCTGTGTATAAACAGAGAGCGAGTATTACGGTACAATTCAAGTAATCAACAGGAAATACAAAATTCAGATATTTTTGGAG